CAATGGGGGTGCTTCGGCTCTCACTTCCTCTGATCCGGAGAAGGGGACGCCGTCCATCTGGAGGGTTCTCGTGGGGGGGGGTTCAGGTAGCCGAGGGGGTCAGGCTTAGGTGGTTTTCTCACTTTGAAATGTTCAATTTTTGGGTTAGGTCCCCGTGGGGTGTCATCAATTTTGGTTGGACGTGTCACCTTAGGCTGACTGCGTTCTGAAAATGCTCATTGCCTGGCTGATATACATTTCCTCTGGCTTCCCAGGAGATCCGGGAGTTCCGTCTTCAGTGGTTGTAGGCCCGTCCCAGCCCTGCACCTGAAAGATTGGAGCCGAGGGGCAGCCAGGCAAAGAGCGTATTCATCAGCCGGTTCTATACGCCGGGTCCCTTTTATGGTTTCCCCATGCCTCTCACGACAGGTGCCCTTTACACTGCACATGTAGATTGGTTAGCCTAGACTGGCAGCCAGGTAGCCGGCCTTTTTCGGGGCGAGACATCAGCAATGGCAGCCTCAGTCTTTCGCTAAGGAAAGGTTTCCTTTAAACAAAAGCGCCCGGCGGTTCTTTACCATCCAGAACAACGGGCCACAGAGTCCGGGGGGGGGGTTTCCGAGACGGGTATGACCTCATAATGTGACTGAATCGGTTTGAGGGTCCAGAAAGTTTCTCAGCGATGATAAGGGCCCCCGGGGGGCCCCAGGACTGTCATGACTCTTGGGGGGTTCCTATAGGAAGACGGCTGCACCCCTAGCAGTATCCGGGGACAGTACTCTGTTCCCTGTTGCTCTTTGCTGCCCTCTAGTGGCTGCAAGCGACAGTGATCCCCGCCCCCCCTTCCAGCCACACACACACCTCCCTCTGCACAAGTGGGTGTTCTGCTCTATCCGGGTCCGCCGGTACTGATCATCTGCTTGGTTTATCCCAGATTTACCCCTATGAGATGCTGCTGGTAACAAACAGAGCTCGGAACAAGATCCTGAGGGATGTGGACCGGACTAGACTGGAGGTGAGAACGGAGCCGGTGATTCTTCCTTCCATTGTCTCTCTTTTCTTTTGCCAAATATTTAAAGCCCATTCGAGTAGATCCAGGCGGTGGAACTACAACTCCCATGATGCATCTCTCTCCGGGAGTCGTGCCTGCGGCTCTGAGAATCTTGCGATGACTCATGGGATTT